CTGGCGTTGGATTCAATGGAAAATCTCAACAATCCATGCGATGAAAATGATAACAGTCTTATAAATCAGGCGATTATCTCATCGTTAAGTGAATTGAATGATAAGAACTCATGGATTCAGGACAAGAATGGCAGACATAACAATTTGTTTGCTATATATGACTGGCCCGACGATTGTCACGTCGACTACAGTAATGGCAGTGATGTCCTCACGACCGCTGAAGACTCCAATAAGTGTGATAATCAAACGCCGCCACAGAATAGTTGCAAAGCAAGCCCTAGTGATACAGAGGCGGCGGCGGCCGCCGATGTCTGCAGTAATCAGTTTTGTGGGAAACTCCGCGTCCAGAACCCGAGGACCGGACAAAAGCACGACTTCTGTTCACTTAAATGCAAATATTTGACTGAAGACCGCGAAGTCAATAGTGTGGACAACAAATATCTCTCGGATTATAATTACGATCCATCTATGGATCTATTGCTGGCGATAGAGATGTCTAAACTGTCGTATGAAGAAGAGCGCCAACGAGATCATGAAAATCATGATAACAATTACAATGTGTCCATCGATTCGGGCGTAAAATCGGCCGAAACGCCCACAACTGCGGCCGCCGTCGATGAGAAGTCCGACACTAATAGCGAGACGAGTAGTGAGAATCCATTTGAAGTGTTTGTCGAAGACATCCGAACGAATCCCGAAGTGGTTCGGGAGTCGTCGGCCGCCAAACAAGTCATTATGTTTTTCCTCAAGAGTTCACTAAACGATATGATTGACGACAAGAATCTGAATCCGTCTCCCAATGACTTCAAGACTGAAAAGAAACTCTTTTCCGTACTATAAAAGTGATGTGTTTTTTGTTCATTTCTAAAACTAACGCATTTATCGATAGTTTTTATATTTAATTGTTTTTCAAACAAACAATCAATTTTTCTTATAACTTATTCGTCTGTTTTATAGACTTTTTTGTTGCATATTTTAGTTTACAATAGTTTTAAATGTTGGAAATGGAAAATACGTACAAATAATACAATTAAATTAACAATCCTTTGGATATTTTATGACAACATTTATTTTACAGAATCGCACAAAATAAATGATAATATCATGTATTATAGCCTGAGCTTTGAAAACACAAAAATATCAACTTTAAAATTATATTTTCAAACCTCTCTATATTAAAACCCCCTCTAGGCCTCTCTCTCTCTCTCTCTCTCTCTCTCTCTCTCTCCTCAATCACTGCTATCATTGTACGTACTTTTGTAATGAAAATAACTTATAAACCCTAAGAAAGTATTTTAAGTATCGATGTATTCATAAAATTCTTACCGAATATTCTGCATAAGAATACCATTTAATCGAAATCATTAAAACTTTTTGAAACTATAATTCAAATAAACGACACATTTATTGTTATTTTTAAGTAAAACAAAGATTTCTGAATTGAATAATGAAAACAGCATTTTTTTGTACGATTGATGTCTTCGCAGATGTTTTTATAGACGAGTATTTGAACAAAATATTTCATAACTTCTTATGAAAAATAGCGAATTGTTTCCAAATCTCTGATATATAGTTAATTAATTGAATTATTGTTATCATCATTGAAAAACATTATGGCCCACTGTTTATGTACTTTTAATAACATTTATTGTTAATTATAATCAATAAATAAAACCTTTTTATTTTTTAATACATATATTTTAAAACAAACTTTAAAATTATAGAATTTTATGAATTTTAATGTAAACTATATTTGAATTATAAGTAAAATAAAATGAAAATAAAATGACAAATAAATTTAGTTTTTATATTAAATAAAATACAATATTTATATTAGATTTTAGTCACAATTGGGATCAACTCTCAAATCATGACCACAAGAAGTGATGAGTGATAAGAGGTGTGAACACTAATGGCATTTCTGGATGAGTAAGTAAATGGTCGTTAAATACCGTACGATATGTTGTTGTTTACTACAACTGTATGGCTATTGTCGAGATCTAATGTCTTAGATTAGATGTCGTTCATTGTATTGGTGCTAATGTCTGATGGAATGGGAGATATCACTGGATTGTCGTTATTAGGACTGACATCGCTCTCGAAACACGAGGCGCCGATACTGAAGGGCGAGGGGTCTGCCGATGGCATCTCTGACACATTGAACTCGAGTTCGTCGGCCGGAGAGACGGCACCGCTCTCCGGACGACTCACCGACGGCGGCTCACTCGCCAGCGATGGCTCTCTCGGCGTCGTGTCGTTCGACTGAGTTGTGTTGGAATTGTCGGCGAATGCCTGCAAAGACATCAACGTATTATTGGTGGCGATCGTACGCGACTTGGTCTCGATCTTCTTGCGCGACATATCGCTGTTCCGCATGTTATCCATAATTGTGGCCATTTTTGTGATCATACTCTCGGGTACAGTGAAACCTTCGCCCATATCGTTGGCGTTAACGCCGGGCGCGCCTTTATATTCCTCCGACTCTATCAGATCCAGTATATCCTCTTTGATGAGTAGATACGCGCGTCCGCCCGCCGGTGGCATCAGATGATTGTCGTGCAGCCATTGTTTGTCCTCCTGATCGCCGATATATCGAAACAGATCCGCGTGTTTCGTGTAAAGCCGTCCGCGAGTTGTGCCGAAACCGAGCGCTTTGTTGGCGCGCGAGCCCAACACGAACTTCGTTTCGGTGGACAATCGGTTTGGATCCCATTTCCTGGAGTCCCGGACCACACGTTTGGCGGCGTCCGACGGCTCCGACTTATTGGCCTTTGAGTGGTGAGCCTTCACTGGAATCGGAGTCCAACTCCGGCCCGAATTGTGATGCGAGGAATGTTTTCCCTTTTTACGGCCGATTGGCTTCAATGTGTGCAGAGAGCCGGCCTCGGAGTCGCTGTCTGAGTCACGCACTCGTTTGGGACGACCCACGGGTCGAGTGACTATCAACTCTGGAATGGGATTATTGTTTTCGTTATCGGATTCGCATCCGTTAGCGGCCGACACACCGCTCATCGCCGGACTGTTAGATCGGGTCAGAAGAGTCGCGAAATACATTTTCTTCGACTCGTCCAGTATTTGCCGACAAACAGCTTGAATGTGTTGTTCAGACACTGAGTTCGCGCCGTTATTATTGCGGATGTTTTCCATCGCCGGCCGAAAGAATCGGTCCAAATATCTCTGAATTACTTCATTGATCTCGCGGTTCATCTGCGGCTGAAGTGTTTGTCGCAATATATTCAACGATTTGGCCGAACTCGTGGTTCCGCCCATACGTTGTCTGTGCAGCGAAACGGCGTGCGAGCGATATGTCGACCGATTGGTCACCGAATTGGTGCCGAAATTCATTAGATTAATGTTTCGCATGTGAAACGTGTTGTCCCACGAAATGGTCGGCACACTATTGGCCGCATTGTTGGCCACCGGATCGGCTCTCTTGTGGTCACCACCAGTGGTGTTACGACTGGTGTTAGTCTTTGACGAATCGCTCATTTCTGCGAATACTTTGCATCGATTGGTCGCTGAGTCGGCGGCTGTCGTGTCGATCGCTCGAAAGCCGTTGTCGTCGACACCACTCCTGTTGTGGACACTCTTCGGGCGATAGGGTTCGGGCACTTCGGACGGGGAATAGACTCTGATCTCCGGTATCACTGAAGACATGCGGAGAGGAGTGAGTGCTTTGGAGTGACTGAGTCTTGGAGTGGGGATCCACTCAATCGGTTGTCACAACCAATTGATCCATAAGTGTGACAATCAATCAATTGTTGAGCAAATCAATGGTGTCCTCAAAGAGTGTCTTATTTTGCGATAATTAGTGACAAATGGATCGCAAAATGCATTCAATTGAGCGCTAATTGAGACCAAAATGTATTGATTTTCAAACCATTTGTTGATTGAAAACACGATTCAAAACAATAACACAATTAAAAGGATTACGCGTTTTGTTTGGCAATCAATCCATATATATATTAGACATACATTACGTCACGAATTGTATTGATATTGAAGTTATAGAAACAGCACTTTTGAATGCGATATTAAAGGGGAACTCATTTATGCGATAATTTGTATACATTATTGATGTCACAGATCGTGGCCTTCGCTTAAGTGTTTGCATGTTTTTTATTGAAATGTCATTTGAATGGCTTCACTGCTGAGCACCAAATGTATTGAACGTTGTATGCATGAGAAGCTTGCTTTACAACAACTTATTTAAAAGTTGTTTTAATTTAATTTAAGTTATATACCATGTACATTTAATACTGACATATTATTTTATTGAATTTATAAATTACAATATTATTAAAAAATAACTGTAACATGCTTATTTGTGTTATTTACTCCCTACACTATTTAAGTCTAACTGTTTTAAAACTTAAATACTATACTTTTACTTTAAAACTAAAAAATTCAAATAACAAAACTTAAATTACTATTAAACTAACAAAAATTTACAATTGCTAGATTGATCATTCACAATTAAATTTTCTAATTGTTGAAATTTTAAAAATTGTAGACAAATTTACATTGACATTGACATGGTTATTTTTCAAGATGTACAGTATAATAATGTGAATGTAATAAAATAATTAAATGTCATCACATTTTTCAAAAACAGTTTTACAAAAACAACTAGCAAGGACCATTTGTTTTGTTTTGTGCAAACATTTGGAGGTATATTGCACTCAATTAATAAAAATATTGATTCTTAAAAGACTTAAAGAGCTTAATCTTTTAATAATATACAAAAGTGGTATAAAAGTTACTTTAAAACTTTGTATTTTGATTCTACAATGAGTTAACCAGAGATTACGAGAGATTTGTGTGTAATCTCTTCGTTGATCCACTCTTGACGACAATCAATGATAAAATGTGATAAATATTGCGAGCAATGAATGGTGTGTTTAACACTTCCCCGAATCGGTCAATACTAGCGCCAAATGTCTGATTGGCTGATGGAGTGAAGCATTAATCTGAACACAGAGGCAGAAACTGGGAGTGACTTCCAATACATGTACTGTTAGTGCTGTTAAAGTGACGGATACTCTCACTCCAAGCAAAGCCATTCAGTTTTGTGTTTCATATGACAGACACTCTTGTCTTTGACTGACCATTCATTGTCTCCTATTTGCCATCGATTGTCAACCAAAAGGTAAGTGTTGTGACAATTGTATACACATAACAGTATAGTCTTGAATGTCTTGAAATGCAAACCAAACTCTTGAGGTATATGTGCGGAAACTGATCCAAACAATACTATTGTATCCAAACAGTAGATACCAGTGATGTTTGTAGTGACCATTCATATCATGTTTAGTACTTATAATTAACACATAATTAGTTTATTGACAGTTAGATTTATAGCATGTTTTTTAATCCCTAAAGCAAATAGTGATAATACCTACTAATCCACTGACAATCCCTTTACCATCATTCGTGTTGTTTGTCTCCCAAACCGGTTCCCAATCCCTGATTGCCATTCAAACCAAACCATTGATTGCTTTAATTATTTAATTTTTATGTTATAATCCATTCACAAGGGATTAAGAGATTAATGCGATGACACAATCAAGATATGTCTGTGATTCCTCTTGAGTCCACTCCTCATGACATATACACTGCTATACATCTAATGGATGTTTCTCTTCAACCAATTAGGAGATAATTAAGACATTATTTTATGCAATAAATGCTATGAAATTTGTTATATACTTGTTTTGTCTTTATTTTCACACAAAATAATGTTAAACAAAATCTTAACCAAAAATTTGAAACATTTTCGGCTTTTCGCACAAAACAGCCGTCGCTTTCACTTTGCGTCCAAATCTTGTCGACTATTCTTTGAATCAAATAAAGTAATCGTAGTTTTAAGCCATCGTTACGTTAACACAATGAGAGGCGGATCCACTAAAGCCGAGTTCATTCGCTTGCCATCGACGGTCACTCCAGTCAATTACGATATCACTCTTCGGCCGAACCTCAAGAGTTTTACGTTCAGCGGTTCGCAAGCCGTGCGGGTTGTGGTCAACGAGAAGACCAAACAGATTGTGCTCAACACTAACGAGATTGACATTAGTGTCGCCTCTTATACGCCAGAAAATGGCAAAAGTAATTATTTAATTAATAATGGGTTTACTTTTAAGCTAATACTAAACTCTTAAATGTCTTTATTTATTCACATCTTAAGCGTTGAGTTCCGAAAAGATTGAAAACAACGCCGAAACCGAAGTGACGTCCATTGAGTTCGCGGAGACGTTGATCGCCGGACCGGGAGTTTTGAAACTCGAGTTCACGGGTACTCTGAACGACAAACTTAAGGGTTTCTATCGAAGCAAATACATGAGTCCCGACGGACAGGAGGAACGGTATGCGGCGGTCACTCAGTTCGAGGCGACCGACGCTCGCCGTGCGTTCCCGTGTTGGGACGAACCGGCGCTGAAGGCAACGTTTGACATCACACTCGTTGTGCCCACCAATCGGGTGGCGCTTTCAAACATGAACGTCACGTCTGAGTCGGTGCTCAAAGACGACCCGTCGCTCAAAGAAGTGAAGTACGCGACCACTCCTGTGATGTCCACATATTTGGTGGCATTCGTTGTGGGAGAGTATGACTACGTCGAGGGCAAGTCGGAGGACGGGGTAGACGTCCGGGTCTACACACCGCTGGGGAAGAAAGATCAGGGATTGTTTGCGCTCGAAGTGGCCGTCAAAACGCTGCCCTATTATAAAGACTACTTCAATATCCCGTATCCGTTACCCAAAATGGATTTAATAGCTTTGGCTGACTTCGCGTCCGGCGCTATGGAAAACTGGGGTTTAGTCACCTATAGAGAGACCTGTCTTCTAGTGGATCCGCAAAATACCTCAACGCGAACCAAACAATACGTGGCACTAGTAGTTGCTCACGAGTTGGCCCATCAATGGTTTGGCAATTTAGTGACAATGGAGTGGTGGACTCGTGAGTATTATTCGTTATATTTTGATACTTAAGTGATGTTTCAGTGATTTAACGGTACATATAATTGTTGATTAGATCTGTGGTTGAATGAAGGATTTGCTTCATTTGTCGAATACCTTTGTGTCGACCATCTGTTTAGTGAATACCATATATGGACTCAATTTGTTTCCGACACATTCACACCGGCCCTCGAATTGGACGCACTCCACAACTCACACCCCATTGAAGTACCCGTCGGTCACCCGTCAGAGATTGACGAGATATTTGATAATATATCCTATAATAAAGGGTCGGCAGTCATACGAATGCTTCATCGCTTTATTGGTGACGAAGTGAGTTATCACTCAATTTATACCACAATTTATTTTAATGGTTATCTTTCTTAAGCTCTTCCGCAAAGGAATGCATTCATATTTGTCGAAACACTCGTATAAAAATACGTTAACCGAAGATCTGTGGGCATCACTACAAGAGGCCAGTAATAAACCGGTTAGAGATGTGATGACCACATGGACTAAACAGAAGGGATATCCCGTTATATCGGTCAGTATTTGTTGCTTTAATCAATTACTATATTAATTATATATTAAATTTAATGTGAATCTAATTATAGGTGACATCACGTCGTGATGGAAATTCACTGATACTAACCTTAACTCAAAATAAATTCTGTGCCGACGGAAAATTGCCCGCATCTGAAGCGAACACCCTTTGGATGATTCCTATATCTGTGACCCGAGCTTCAGATCCGACCAAAATTGCGGTCGAAGTTCTAATGGACACAAAGACTATTGATATCGAGATTCCGGACGTATCGGCCAACGAATGGATCAAATTGAACCCAAACTGTGTCGGCGTATATCGTGTCCACTATTCCCAAGAGTTATTGAACCTGTTGTTGCCGGCCGTCGCCAACAAAACACTTCCCCCATTGGATCGATTGGGTCTTCAAAACGATTTGTTCGCTTTGGTTAAGTCCGGACAGACATCGACTGTTGATATTCTCAAACTGATGGACTCGTTCGCCAATGAAGATGATTATACAGTTTACGAAGATCTGTGGGCATCACTACAAGAGGCCAGTAATAAACCGGTTAGAGATGTGATGACCACATGGACTAAACAGAAGGGATATCCCGTTATATCGGTCAGTATTTGTTGCTTTAATCAATTACTATATTAATTATATATTAAATTTAATGTGAATCTAATTATAGGTGACATCACGTCGTGATGGAAATTCACTGATACTAACCTTAACTCAAAATAAATTCTGCGCCGACGGAAAACTGCCCGCATCTGAAGCGAACACCCTTTGGATGATTCCTATATCTGTGACCCGAGCATCAGATCCGACCAAAATTGCGGTCGAAGTTCTAATGGACACAAAGACTATTGATATCGAGATTCCGAACGTTTCGGCCAACGAATGGATCAAATTGAACCCAAACTGTGTCGGCGTATATCGTGTCCACTATTCCCAAGAGTTGTTGAACCTGTTGTTGCCGGCCGTCGCCAACAAAACTCTTCCCCCATTGGATCGATTGGGTCTTCAAAACGATTTGTTCGCTTTGGTTAAGTCCGGACAGACATCGACTGTTGATATTCTCAAACTGATGGACTCGTTCGCCAATGAAGATGATTATACAGTTTGGACGTCAATCATCGACTGTCTCGGGCGACTCAATCAACTCCTCTCTCACACCGATGTGGAGACCATTTTCCACGAGTTTGGCCGTCAATTGTTGTCGAAGACATATTCAAGACTTGGATGGGAACCGATCAAAGGCGAGACCCATATGGACACATTGCTCAGGAGTTTAGTGATCACTCGTTTGGCTTCATTCGAAGACCCGATTGTGTTATCTGAGGCCAAAAAGATGTTTGACTCGCACTGCGGCGGCACTTATACCATAGCCGCTGATATCCGGGGATCCGTTTATCGTGCGGTTGCTCTCGACTGCAATGATAAATCATTTGAGACATTATTTAAGGTAATTTTAATTTATAATGTTTATGTTTCTGTGTACTAATGAACTTCTCATTTGATGCACAGCTGTATCGCGAGGCAGAGCTCCACGAAGAGAAGGATCGGGTGTCCCGAGCGTTGGGAGCCGTCAAAGACGCCAATCGTATCGCTAAAGTACTTGACTTCGCGCTATCCGTAAGAAATAAACTAATTGTTTCAAATGGTGGTTAAAGTTTTGCTAACTTTTTTTTAACACATATAGAGTGAAGTCCGAAATCAGGACTCAGTGTTTGTGATAATATCAGTGGCGCTCACGAAGAATGGTCGGGACATCGCGTGGGAGTTCTTCAAGAAGAACAAGGATGAGCTCAGACGTCGATACGAAGGCGGGTTTATGGTCACAGCACTCGTCAAGGTATTTGTCACTCCATTTTTATAATACTGTAATGTATTTCAATAACTGAATGTTTTGATCACATTTACAGCACATCTCTCAGAACTTTGTTACGGAAGAAAGACTACAAGAAGTGGAGACATTTTTCACCCAAAATCCATTCCCGGGAAGCGAACGCACTGTTCAACAATCTCTGGAAACGATTCGTCTCAACATTGATTGGTTGGCTCGCGATCTGCCATCCATTCAATCGTATTTAACAAAACGCTCGTAAAATTATAACAAATATTTTATGAATTATTTTTAAGAAATAAATTTAACATAAGTTTATTTATGTTTGAAAATGTTTGCTAACTTTTTATTTAACTCATATCTGTTTTTAGTTTATCTAAAGTAATCCTACAAAAGACATCAATTCTCTCTCTCTCTCTCTCTCTCTCTCTCTCTCACTCACTCACTCACCCTCTCATTCATTTTTACACAATTTGTAACTTAATTTTGAAAATATAAAACTTTTGGCTAAAAATGTGGAAATATTTGACAATTTATTGATTTCAAAAAATTATTACATTATATAAAAATCCATTCCCGGGAAGCGAACGCACTGTTCAACAATCTCTGGAAACGATTCGTCTCAACATTGATTGGTTGGCTCGCGATCTGCCATCCATTCAATCGTATTTAACAAAACGCTCGTAAAATTAGAGCAAATATTTTATGAATTATTTTTAAGAAATAAATTTAACATAAATTTTATTTATGTTTGAAAATGTTTACTAACTTTTTTAAACTCATATCTGTTTTTAGTTTATTTAAAGTAATCCTACAAATCTCTCTCTCTCTCTCACTCACTCACCCTCTCATTCATTTTTACACAATTTGTAACTTAATTTTGAAAATATAAAACTTTTGGCTAAAAATGTGGAAATATTTGACAATTTATTGATTTCAAAAAATTATTACATTATATTTAGAAACATGTGTTTTGCCGATCGAAATGAGATTATAATTTGTAAAAATGCTTTGTTTTTATACATATTATTATTATTAAGAAGTATTTATTACAATATTTATTAATTAATAATTAATTATTAAGGCCTCGAATTAAAACAGAATTTCAATAGAAAGTAAAGATAAACAGCAAAACAGAGAAAACAATTAGAAAAATAAATATCCAAATAAAACAGAAAAATTGTAATTTAATTTCTAAAAAATATATTATAATTAGTTTTAAACTAATAATCAAATTAACTACAAATTAATTTAAAAAACAGAGAAAAGAGTTGCTCTAAAAAATGTAATTTAATCAAAGTTTTATATACGGATCGCTGACTGCAAACAATTTCCACATTCAAAAACAGATATTTTTTGTGTTTTGGTTTTTTAATGTTTTGTAAAACAATTGAATTTAGTTTTAAATAATATATATTTATAACTCGTTGGCCGACGAATTGATTGATATATTTTGCAGTTTATATATACTGAGCCAACCATCGAAAGCCCTCTCCATATCCCTGACGTTTTAGTACAGAACACATGTAGAGCTCTAGTGGACGACCGGGCAGTTCAGAGCGCGGAAGTTTGCCCTAGAAGTGGACACAACGGTTAATATCCCATTCATTCACACCATATAGTGGTTTGTGAGTTGACATACCTTTCCAGTGGTCTGTCCGTGTAAACCAAAATAGGATCGGATCTCGTCCTCACCGGCAGCGCCCGGTCTGTCTATTTTGTTGCCTAATATGAGGACCGGACAGTTGGCCAACTGTTCATCGGTTAATAGACTCTATGGCAAGACATGAGACACATTGCGATTAGAAATCAATCAATGGATCGAATGAAGGCTCAGTTATCTTACATCTAATTCGACTTTGGATTCTGGGAAGCGTTCCCTATCGCAGGCGTCAATCAGAAAGACAATGGCGTCCACCGCCGGGAAGTAGTCCTTCCAGACTCGTCTCGCCTGATGATGGCCTCCCAAGTCAAACGTCGTGAACCGGATATTACCAATGGATAACTCTTCGGACGCTATAACACAATACAACACATCATTAGTACATCACTTGTCATCGCATTTGAAGGTCAGAGGGGATGGTGTGTGGGGTCGGGGGAGGTGTGTGGGAGGGGGTGGTGTCGTGTACTAACTGGGGTGAAGTGTAGGGACGTGTTGAGCCATGCGGTCATCTTTAAGCATATGAAGAAGTGTGGTTTTGCCGGCGTTGTCCAGACCCAGGAATAACAGTTTGCCGCTCTTCTTCCACAGACCTGATCCACGTTTACAAGAGATAATCATTCATTAGTTCCAGTAGTGGTACAACTGATGCTGTGATGCAATCAATCAAATACTTTACCCAAAAAGCCTAAAACACCCGAAAAGAAGTCCCAAATAAACATTATATATGGGTTTGGCTGAAGACGTGCCACAAATCAACGACAATAACAACAAAAACAAGTGTCAAAAAAAGAGTCTTCGGATGACTGTATATATGGATTACTCGTGAGTCGATTGTATTAATGGATTAATAGGTTTTGAATCAAAGAGTCATTTGTGTTGTGAAAGTGTTGAGTGATTTTGTGGTTTGCATTTGGCTTTGAATGCACTTCTCGATCGCAATCACAAGCAATGAGTTGTCGATTACTGTATGAGTTGTACAGACATTTGTTCGGCAGGTTGTGAAGTGATGTCATACACAAGTCAGTAACGGCAGTTTTACCCTCTGTTTAATGCACAAGTAGTGTACAACACAAGTGATGAGATAACTTTCATGTATTTCATATTATGTCAAGTCGAAGCACTCAATGCACTCACTCTGCAATACATAGGGGTTTAGCCTTCACTCAAAAGCACTCATAAGGGCTACAAATTTATCGCAAACTTTTAATTACACTTTTAATTGAAGTTTATTTGCTTGATTTCATATGTTTAAGATGACCAAGGTCCCCTTACGCTGCTATTGTTAGCTTGTAATGCAGTATTATTGCCTAAATTAGCCATGTGTAAACTTAACAATTGTTTAGCAAACTTTTCTATCATGTTCTAATGGTTTTAAAGGAAATAATTCACATTTTTCAATCAAGGTTAATAATTAAGACTTTTAAAAATACAATTAAATACCATTTAAAGTGCATTTATTAGAGAAAATCATATGTAAAAAGGATGTAATGTTAAGCCTATGAACAAACACTCGCATCCCTCATACCATATGTTAAAAGCAATGCAATTCATAACCAATGCTGAGCTCAGCATTACTTTGCCATTGGATTCACATTCAAAGTCTCGCTTCAAAAATAAATGTGATTTTTGTTTACATTTTGTGTTTCATTTCATAACAGATAACACAAGCGTTGGATTCATGCCATGAACACAATTATCTGCAAACGAGTGGTAAGTTTATTATCATTTGCCCTCAAAAGGGGGGCAAAAGCGGTCAAACACTCGGGATGTTTGTGTTTGTTATCACCGGTAGTTCCCAATCAGTGATAATTGTTTTGTTTACTTTCCGTTACACCAAATCCTAGCCATTGATCGCATCGGCGAAGACATGGCTGGCGGCGCTCACAGTCGCTGCTCGCGATGTGGTCAGTAGCCACCAGACATTTGTTCACCGGCCTGCAATGCACTCTATATTCTGGTTTAAGTTCTGTAAAGGCTACTGTATGCTCTACCGTTTGGGAGGGATATATATCGGTGTGCGTAAGGGCTGGAACTCCTGGAACACGTCATCGCTGGTAGGCGTGGAGCGGACGGCCGCGAGTCAGACCACCATCGAAGACGTCTTCATCAGGAAATTCATTTTCGGCACTTTTCACCGCCTCTTCCTCTCAGAGATCATCATTAAAAGGCGCGCAAACCTTATCGTTGTCGCCGGTATTGTCCATCAGTCCATCGCTCAGACGAAGATCTACTTTCTGGTCGGATATACGGAACAGATATTGTCTTATATTCTGAAGTGTGTCGTAAAGATGGACATTCAGACCACTCACGACCCCAAAGCGCTGATCGTTAAACATATTTAGTACATTTCAATTGGCATTTAATTTATAGTTTTTTTGATAGTAATTCTTGTGTTTCTTTTTCATAAACATTGTATTGTTTTAATTTTTAACTTAATAGCTAATTTTATATCTATACAAAATTTTACAAAACCAAATAACCAATACGTTTGATCACAAGTCAACTCAGGAAGCACTAACGTAACTAATTTTAAAATTGCAAATATAGTTATTACATTTGAATTAGTTTCCAAATGTCAATAATGTATTAAATATTCTTAAATTGAATGACAATTACTATTATTAGGAAATTTTTTTAATAATTTTTTTTTAATTTTAAAAATAAACACATTTACAGTTAAAGTAATTTATTCTTGAATTTAATTCATTAATAATATTTATTTCATATTTAATTAATATTTAATGTATTTATAAGTAATTTATAGTATTTTTAATCAATTTATATCTACTCTTAAATGTAAGTCAAAAATGTAATGAAAAAAGTGATAAACATTTGAAACAAAAGCACAAAAAACATCAATTAATGTCTTCTTTGATCTCTTCAGTGGGTTTGATGTCGTCCTCCTTTGGCGGCTCTTCATTGGGCTCTTCATTGGGCACGAGTTGGCCCGTAATCTCCGCTTCTTTGGCCACCACTTCCTTCCACGCGTTGAGCACTTCTATGGGATCGTCTTTGGCCGCGATGTCCACCACTAGTACTCCGATCTCCACTACAACGAGAGGACAACAAAACACATGACATAACGGATCCCAAAAGAGATGACCACTCGATAGAGTCGGCCATCGCTTACCATTCATTCGCATCACTTGAGTCCACATTTCCTTCATTTGTTTGCCAAATGAGTCCAACTCTTTGCGGATCTGATCCACAGGACACTCATCGATGACCAGCTCTTTGTCCGCCAACGAGTCCACCGATGAACTCGTGTTGTCGTTGTTGTCGTTGAATGACATCTGATCTCCAGAAATGATTGACTCGTTTTGTTTGGACAACAAATGAATGAATCGTTTCGTGAAAAACAACTCAAAGAATATTCTTTTGCGACACAAATATTGCGCTCGAATTTTGCGCACAATTTAATGCACGCATCGAAAGGGCGTAACTATGCGTCCAATGAGTGCATGAGTTAAGCCCTTCTATTGAAAGCGCAAACTCCGGCGGAGACCTCTATCGAGGCATTCATTGAACGATTGAATCGTTTGTTTGTTTTTATGCAATAATTTTTTTCCGGACACAGACTTTGGACACAAACACCGACTTATTCTTCCGGTGATCTTCGGGTCGACACCACAGCCATCGCCAGACATCATGTCTTCGTCACTGTTTGAACACATAAGACAATTACATTCGGATGAGTTGTACACCAATTTAGTCCAATTGGTCCGTAAATTATGACAAATACTTAACACATTTATCACATGTTTGTTACCACTCTTTGTCTCTCAGATGAATCTCTTGTCGCCACAAATGGACTCCATTTGCGAACTCTTTTCGGCGACCAATGAATACAAAGCCCTCGTCTTCTTCGGCGACGCTCTCTATCGCACCAAAGATTACCGAAAAGCAGAGGTTTGTGTCCAACACTGTA